AAGCTGGGGACGGTGATCCGCAAGTGGAATGGAGAAAAGATGGCCTACTTAAAGTAAGGGTGAAGGTGCTGCACCTGCTCCGGGATGCGCTGGATGTACCAGCTGACAGAGTGGCTTCAGGCCTTTGTGTTTTTGTCTAGGAACTGGGGAGAAGGCTGGGGCTTTATGCCTTCAGACAAAGCCCTGGTCTTTGTGGATAATCACGACAACCAGCGGGGGCATGGCGCTGGTGGAGCTGCCATTCTGACGTTCTGGGACTCCAGGTGAGGGATTGCTCTTGTCTGGGTGATGCTTCTCCTTTGGCTTGTTTGTCTGTCTGCTCGCTGGCCCCGTTTCTCCTTCCACGGCTCATTAGTTTTTTTGTCTGACCATCAGGCTTTATAAAATGGCAGTGGGTTTCATGCTCGCTCATCCCTATGGCTTCACTCGTGTGATGTCAAGTTTTCGCTGGCCAAGATACTTTGTAGATGGAAAGGTAAGCTCGTAGTACTGAAGACACAGATTCATGGTGAGTAAGGATGAGGACGGGGCCAGAGAAGCAGTCGGTGCATTTGAGTTTGTTAGGTGATTTCTCTGTGCCCTGTTGGATCTAGCAGGTGGAAATGTGATGCTCCATTTAGCTTTTCTCTGCAGATAGGCTCTCTGTATTTTCAGTCATAGTTTTTAAACTTCTTTTTTTTAATTATAGGACATCAATGACTGGGTTGGACCACCAAGTAACGCGGATGGATCAGTCAAGTCCGTTACAATCAATCCAGACACTACGTGCGGCAACGACTGGGTTTGTGAACATCGCTGGCGTCAAATAAAGTAGGAGACTGGCGGGTTAAAACCTCAAAAAAGTAAAAGCAGCTGCTTTTGCTTCATCTTCCTTGTGGAGGAACATGAGGAGGAACACTGGCAGCCGCAGTGACAGCCGTTGCTTGCATTTTCAGGAACATGGTTATATTCCGTAACGTGGTGGATGGGCAGCCTTTCGCCAACTGGTGGGACAACGGCAGCAATCAAGTCGCTTTTGGCCGTGGCAATAAGGGCTTCATCGTTTTCAATAATGATGACTGGTAAGT